ATATATAGTATTTTTCAATTCAATTTTACTTACATTTTTAAAAATACACTAAATGAAAAAAATTATTAACACTGCGCATGTCATACAGTACACCTCAAGTATAATGCAAAATAATTCTTTATGACGTACAAAATTAACCGATAACCGACTTTACAGATAAAAAACAAGTATTTGCCACAATATGAAATAAAAATCAAAATAAAAAAGACAATACACACCTCTGTTAAGGACTGAATTTTTTTAACACATGGAAACTACCAGAACTCTTTGAACAATAGAATTTGTTCAATTATCAATACGAAACCTTTCCCCAGCTTTGAAAGCTGAGGGAAATGGGCGCAAAGAAAATTAAACATTTAAGAGGCTCTATTCATCATGCGTAGTCTATTATTGTATAGACTCCGTAAAACAGTGCTATAGAAACAAAAAGAGAGCAACTAGTTTTAATGTCCACATTAGGATTTAGACCCGTGAATATTTGTTACATTCTAACTTAAGCAGACCCAGTCATTGCTCACACATCACATCACCCAACAGTGATCAAGCATTTAGTCTCGTTTTTAGAATTCTATTTTTTAAAATACACGATAGGAATACCAACTAATTTTGATCCTGGGCAGACGACGTGGACAGCGCTTGAGCTAGCACCCCTCTCTCCAAAATTACACAGCAGAACCAACGAAAGAACGTTCTGCCACGACCCGTTCTTTCACTTATCTTAAGACACTTATTTAAGGCACACTTTGCTGTGTATACTCGCCAGTTGTTTTCTCGACTAACAGGATCTAATTCACGACTTCCAACCAGCGGTGGGAGTGACGCCTCAACAGACTATTGTTCACAGAATGTATTCTGAATGAAAAAGGATGCGCGGCTAGTAATGAAGAGTATTTCATTCTAGAACATCACTTACCATGAAGTCATCCCTGCCGAGTGAGGAAAACATGGATAGTTTTGTGTCGGAGGCGTGTCTCCTGTGTCTGTTGCGCCTGGCTTGTGGGCCGCCTAACCGACCTCCGCCGGACGTCAAAGGCAACGTCGTGGAGCCAAGCTTCCGAATAGGGTCGTATGTAGACGTCTCTGGCCATGAGGATTGCGAGAGTAGCCCAGATAGGTCAGGGTCAGTGATACGGCGTCTAGAATTAAAACACAATTATGAGGTTTCTTAAACATGCATCAAAGGACATCCATATCACAAAGGCTTTCTCGAAATAAGATCGAAAATCTCAGAGCTATAATCATATTAACCTGATTAAAACAAATTACTCTTCTTTACTATGTATTTCCAAGCGGTGAAAACGTTTTGCAATACAGGAAAGCTGTGTGGAATTGCTGATCATTTTTGAAAAGAGTCTCTTAATCGAGAGTCCGTCGTTGTGTTGCTTTAGTCTGACGTAAACCAATATTAGGTACTACTACAATAATAATAAAAGAAAAATGAATGTGCATGTCAGTCTGTATAACACCAGAACCGTTTGTGTTAGTACTCTGAAACGTGAACAGTGAGTACTAGGGTTTATTTTAGCCCTCGATCATAAAATTAGTTTAAAAAAAAACAATAAACAAAAAGAAATTTTCTCTTTCGTGAAGCATTATGAATTCAAATTAAACTGCCAATGAATATGTCTTATAAATGATTCAAAAGTTAACATTAGAAATGCTTGTCAATTTACAGTATTATGTGATCAAAAACAATTTTCGAGTTCATTGCATGTTCTTTAGATTTATTTTTGGTTCATTGTGTCATGTAAACTCAGGCAAACGTTAACTTGGGATAACACCACCCAATTCGTAATTTGAAAATTATATCAAGTCACGTGAATACTTTTCTTTTAGCTATGCTTTTGAAGCGCTTTTTTTCCCCCTCTCCAACTTTTGTTTCAACTCAATATATTTGTCTGTTCTTGTGTCTTGAACGTTGACTTGAATCTCTTATAAATCTGGAACTATTTGTGCTAGGGTCCTGAAATATGGACAGTGGGTGAAAGTGGTGACCTCGATCCTGAAAATCATTTAAAGATTTCAATTGGGTACTTGCCCAGACCTATGACATCATCTCCAGCTGATCGCCTATAAACAAAATATCGTGTTAAAATTGAGCTTGGTTTCTCCACATAAGTTAGAATGTTAATTAATGTGAAGTCAATTAAATACTGAGCCGTATCGCACGTCAAATTTGTACATATATAATTCTTTCCCATCTACATCTTTTACTTAACTTAGATTTATTATTTGTTTGCGTATTTTATAGTAACTGCGATATATTTTTGTTTTGTGTACCTGGCAGAGTCGATGCATAATTAGTTTGTTTATGCTATACGTGGCTTCATGTCTGTCATTGTGTTAAGTAAGAAACACTTAGTGAAAGAATTGAAATCTTTGTGAAAGAACATAGAATGTGCCACTTAAGAGAATTAATACCTTCGGCCTTGGCTGACTCGAAATAGAATGGAAAGAACAGCTGCTAACGTAAACAAATGCCACGTTTCAACAAACAGTCAGGATCGAGATACTTACATTGCGTCACTTGCAGGTATCCCATTGGAGAGTTGCGTGAAAAATAAGCTTTTCGGTTAGTATTAGCTTCAGCCTGATAATGTCTCAGGCAATTTTCCAAGTATGGTGTTCATTTTTTTTTAGAGAAGTTAATCTTGAATATTTCAAGATTTTCTTATGAAATTTTTAAACAAAGCAGATAAAAAAGCGGTGGTTTTTGAATATCAATAATAACATCAAAGGCACATAACTACTTTCTGTACCAATATCAAAGTAAAGTTTTGTTACGCATTTTAAGATAAACTGTATTATGAAATGAATATAATTCCTGTAAAATTAGATGAGACTATATCAACTCGATTCCTATAAGTAACTCGGAATATTTTTTTTAATTCCTTTTTCTTAAAAACCGATAGAATAGTTGTTTTTAAAACTTAAAAAAAAATTATTAAAAAATTAAATAATGGAACGGTAATTGTAAGAAATATAACTTATTTACTAAAGTGTAAATTCATCCAGTAAATTGCTAGAATATAAAATGTTCGCCGCCATCAATAACACTGGGAAACAAATATTTATAAAATATACTTGATCTTGCTTCATTCGGATGTGGGGATTTTGAATCTGAAATTGTTGCTTCTAAAGCTACAGATTTTTTTAAATGACATTTTTAGCCTATTTTTTTGTCGAAATGCACAGATGCTATATCTAAGAGGGGGTGACGTAAATGTTGCGAGAAACTTTTGGGGAAGGATTAAAATTGCTTAGGAATGACATCCTACGAGGAGTTTCCTCTATTTATGACCTGCTCAGAAGCAAGTAAAGAAACAGTTTGTAGAAGCCCCCTCCCTCTTACATATAACATTTTTAAACTTTGAAAATATTTTGACAAACAGTAGACTGAAAATGAGATTTTAAAAAAAAGAAAGAAAACTATAGCTTTCAGAGAGAAACTAATTGAAGATTTTAAATCAGTGACGTGAAAATTCCCTAGATTCGTTAAAAAAAATCTCATGTAACAGAAAACAAAAAAAGTGTAGTCAATAGTGTAATTTTATGTTTGCCCAACAATAGCAAGTACAGTTTTAAGTTGTCTTTCAATTTTGAGAATGATCACGTAACACTGTGGAACAAAAATCATTTTTCGCGGTCAAAAATTAAAAAAATGAAGTTATAAGAAGAAAAAATCTCAATATGGTTTTTTGTAGTAAAATGTCCAAGGAATATGACACTGTATTTTATTTTTTTGGTTTATTAATGGAAATAGCAATTAAATGGAAACAAAATCAAAATAAAAAAAAAATTACATTTTTAGTTAAATTTTCACTAATATGATAAATCCTTATAGTAAATAAAAATATTAAAACTATGCATGATTTATACATAAATTTATTTCTAAGATATATATGATTTCATTATTTTACATAAATGCTATTGAAACCAGAGCCATTTCCCTATTTCTGCCCTGTACAATGAAATTGTAACTTTAGGGTGCTCTATAAAAAAAGCCTTACGTTGCCGAGGTAAAAAAGAAATGTGTACATTTGTTTGGTATATATACTCAAGAACTAAAGAAAAATTAGCTGCGAATATTTGCGAATTTGGCTGATATATCGATTTTTATAGTTCGTGTCAATTTTATAATAATGATAAAATTAATGAAAAAAATTATAAAAATAAACTTGAGATTATTATTTTTGTTATAACATTTTCAAAATTTTTTATATCTAGAAAAATAGATTCATTATTTTTTTTTAAATTCGATAATCGAATTTGTAATTAACAATCTTAAATATTTTGATTCAATTTATTTAGTTTAAATTTGTTTTGATAAATATTTGTGATTTTACATCCATTACTTTATTTATTAAAATTATTAACCACAAATTTGTAATCAAAGATCTCAAAAACTACTAGTAAATATTTTTATTTTATTTATTTACAATTTTTTCAATAATCCTCCGCCATTTTGGATCCGCCATTTTGTTTTTTTGAAATTTTGACTTCATATTTGAAATCAGTGACCCAAAAAACTTATAGGTGATCAAATTTTAGAACATTGAAGTTAATTTTCTAATTTTGACCGCATTTTTCTGATTTTGTCCCACTGTGCGTAATAGTGATTGATAAAATTTATTATTTTTTGCTTTTTTGTTTCTTCAGAACAGGCATTCAGATGATCAGATATTACTGAATTAAAATCAGTCTGAGAAATCATTTCTAAACATTTGAATCTTTCCAAAAAGAATAAACGAATTTCGATTTTTCAAGTCAATTTTTGAAGAACATGTTAAAATGAAAACAAAGTTTCTACAACGCATAGTTCTAATATTCTTTGGTGCTTAATAATTTATGAAATTCTTTTTAAACTAGATTTTTTTAGATAATAAATTGCTTTTGGTTTTGAAAGTTATTTCTTAAAACATGAAGTTACTAAATTCGTGCTTCTCAATGTATTTTATAGTTTAATGACTTTGGTCACGCTATTCTGGAATATTTTTTTTCCAATGCCCACCTGTGTTAACATTTTTCGTCAATTCAGGCATTTACAGGACAGATTTGTTGGCCTCTCTTTCAGGGGCACCCTATTAGGTGGGCCAACGTTGCTCCCACAGTGAATGAACAATTTCAATATCCTTACAGTTTCAGTTATCTTTCAAATCTTCGTTATCTTTCAAATACTCGGGTAATAAAAAAGCTACCAATTTTTTTTAATTGAAAGACATGTAAAACATAAATGTTAAATTTATGCTTAGTTATTAAAAGTATTAGACTATTTTATGATTAAAGCTTAATAACATGCTTAATAGTTAAAGTTTTTTTTAGATGTAATAAAATATTATAAAACCCTTGTATAGTATAAAACTAAAATTTAATTTGAGGTTTTACATAATTAGTAGTAGTTCTCAAATATTGAATCAACGAATTAGAAACATTTCATTTATTCTTTGCTTTAAATTTAAAAAAGGAATGTTTTTTTTAAAAAAAAAATCTGAAATTAACTGTTAAACTAAAAACTACTCAAGTACACGAGGATTAGCTTAAACCTTTTTAAAAAATATTCCTAAAGGTTCAGTTATTACGTTTTGAAGTAATGATTTCAGTTCTTTTGGTCATTATCGTATCGATGTATTCATTAAGTTTTTTTTTCTTCCAATTGTTCGAATCCATTAATGCTTTATTCCAAAAGTTGAATACTTTCTAAATATTTCTTTCGTGCGATGAAGGTGACTTTTCTAGAAAAAATAAATGCTTCGAAGTTCCGGTGAAAAAAATTAAAAATACCATCAAAAGGCCTTTTAATTTAATTTTATATGAATCTGGAAGTATATTTTCAGCATTCGAGAGGTTATATAGCCATTTATAGTTGAAGTAGAAACTTGCATTTTTTCAAATGAAGGAAGTATATATATATATACTTCTTTTATTTGAAAAAAATGTTTCTTATTTGAAAATATGTTTCTTTTCACATTGTTTACGTTCAACATTATTTTCTTGACCGTTTATATAGTTTCAAAAAGGAGTCATAAAATTTTATTAAAACTTTCTAGTACAAATAACTAAAATGAGCATTTTTATCATTATTATTTCCAGACAATTATATGTTCGAAATTTCTTATAATTAAACTAATAAATGCTT